GTCATGATATAGTAAAGTTAAAAATTGTTATTTTACAGTGATAATCTTGTTTTCTTGTGCCCAATAATGCATAATTTCATTTGATAAACACGTTTAGATTGAATGGTAATTTATAATCAGTCACAAGAACGTCGAATCTGAATCACTTGAAAAAAACACGAGGTGCTTAACTTTTTTCCAGGTGTATATTAAAAATCATGTAGTTTAAATTTATGTTAAAACACTACTTTGATTACAGTATTACAAGACACATGGTTTGAGGTTATGTTAAAATAGAAGTTCAATTACTTGTATTAACTCTCTTGTTATGGGCTTGATTGATTTGACCAAATTTGTGACTCCAAATTGACCTTTAGTGTATCCATACTACACCTTCTAATATGTTTCTCACATATCTTCACAAGCTTTTGGAAACATTACAAGTCCTTTTTATAGAAGAATCAGAATTTTTAATGTAGTTTTACTAAACATTTCTTGATGATTATAAGGTGTTAGAATATTGACTGCTCTGATTGCAAAGACATTTTCAGATTAAACTTAAAAATACTTTTCTTAATCTGAAAATTGTCACATTTTAGTCGTGTAGTTTGTAAAACCTCCTATATAAATATGAGATAAGAAGACAGGTGAATCAGTATGCATAAGGAAGCATCATTTATATCCTCTTTCATTATCCAGAAATACTGACAAAAGAGTTTTTATAAAATTTTCCTGGTTTCCATCTTGAAATGAGGAATTTACAGATAATGATTGAGATATTGAAGTTGTATTACTGGTATTGAATCGCCAAATATCTTCAGTGCTGCATAATATCAGAGTAAAAAGCTGAAGAAACATGAAACTATGTTGCAATAGGCCTTTTCTGTAAAAGGTCTGAATAATCCTGATCCAAAATTTGAATATTAACTGGATTACATGAAAGAGGCAAAAATGAAAAAACTGAAAGTGGAGGAAGAGAAAGATAAAATTGGACAGTAAATCCAAATTAAAAAATCTGATGGACATCTGAAACCAATATATGAATAAATGAACCAAGATGCCCCCTAAAAGTACAGACAAAGGAATAATCAAGAGTGAGTAAAACAATCAATATCACCTATCTACATATACCTGTTGAGTGGTCTAGCACTGAAGGAAAATTATGAATTATGTATATCACCACTTCAGTGTTAGACCACTCAACAGGTATATGTAGAGAAAATTATGAATTATGTATATCACCCACTTCAGTGTTAGACCACTCAACAGGTATATGTAGAGAAAATTATGAATTATGTATATCACCTACTTCAGTGTTAGACCACTCAACAGGTATATGTAGAGAAAATTATGAATTATGTATATCACCTACTTCAGTGCTAGACCACTCAACAGGTATATGTAGAAGAAATTATGAATTATGTATATCACCCACTTCAGTGTTAGACCACTCAACAGGTATATGTAGAGAAAATTATGAATTATGTATATCACCCATCTACATATACCTGTTGAGTGGTCTAGCACTGAAGGGAAAATCTGAATTAAGTCAGAAGAGCAGAGCTTAGGTAAGATCTCCAGAGGCATACACAATATGTCACATAGAAGACGGGAGGATTATAGGGAAGTGATGATTGTTCTGTAATGCATAAAAAAGACGTTCAGAACTTCGAGTCCCTGCTTTGTTGATAGTATAAAAGCAAACTCAGAAAAGAAATCGAAATCATCTACTTATAAGCCATATTATAACAATACTTTGACTACATGTATTACAGATGATATGGTGAGATATTACGTTAAAACAGTGGTTGCCCTAGTTGTATTAAAAATTATCTAGTGGAGTGGTTCTTAACCTTTTTTTTTTTTCTATGGACCATTTGAGTTTTTTTTTTAATGCTGTGGACTACAATGAGATCTATATACCATACTGGCACTTCCTTTCTACATAACTGATGGGAGATCAGAAATCACAGATTGAGAATTGTTGATCTAATGTAAACTAATACTAGAGCAATGCCTTGACATGTAATACACATCATATGGTGAGAGGTTATGTTAGGGCAATTATTCTAACACATGCATTTAAACTCTAAGGTAAAAAATAATATTAGAGTAAAAAATCATGAGAAAAAACAAAGAGATATCTATTTCTTCTCTGTTTACCTTCCGTTACATAAGTTTGTAAGTAAGCATTAAATGTGAAACCTATTTGTACTAATGATTATTGACTCCCTCAATACCATAAACATGATAAAAACATTTTCCTAAACTGAAAATGTATTTCCGATAGATACTTACCTTCTTTTCTCCAGTAGTACTGCCCTCTATTGACACAAATTTTCAATGCTTGCCACTAGCCTTCCACCTCCCACTTCTGCATATCCACATGTTAATGATTATGCTGCAGCTCTCCACCAATAGGAGAGTGACACAGACCCTATCATAACCAGTGCCCTCTCCATATTTGCACTTGTTAATCACTTCAAGATTGATCACAGGACCTAAACCACACATTACCAGAAGTGGCGAGTCTGGGTGGGAAATGTGAAAATATCAACACCTGGCAGCATCTGGATTTGTACATCAGGTTTGCGGCAGGAAGAGTCTCAACATCAGGGAGCATCAGAGATGGGTAGCAATCCCTGTCTGCTTTACTGATATTAGTTCATGAGTATACAGTCTGGGATGAACATATTATGAAGCAAACAATCACTGAAGAGAACTACAAGCAGTCCTACAGAACACCTCATCTTTTCAGTGTGCGTAACCTAATTCTGTAATGAAATTATTTCAGCATAGATGACAAATGAATGGAAATACACAAACAACATCTGGAATTATACATCAGATCTGCAGTAGAAACGGCTACAATAAAATTGACGTCAAGCATGGTCACAGGATGGACAGTGTGGATTTTGAAAGAAAAAATATACCTGTTCAGGTACCACTTGTCACAGAGTGGGATCCACAGTATACTAGAGAAAAAGGAGCCTGAAAAAGTAAGAAAGAACGAAAACATAGTATTCACCAGTCATAACGACACCACAGTGTGTAAGATGGCGATTGGAGGTAAACAAAAACCCATTGAGCAAGAAACGGCCATGTGAGGTAAACAATATGAAACAGAAGTATGAGGTGTATCCACATACCGGCCTCAGTGATGACCTTCATTACAAAGATCAAATGGTTGAGAAAATATCTGTTACTGTATTATATCCTAAAGTGTAGCTTGACATACATCATCTTCATTACAAAGATCAAATGGTTGAGAAAATATCTGTTACTGTATTATATACTAAAGTGTAGCTTGACATACATCATCTTAATTACAAAAATCAAATGGTTTAGAAAATATCTGTTACTGTATTATATACTAAAGTGTAGCTTGACATACATCGTCTTCATTACAAACATTAAATGGTTTAGAACATATTTACTATATCCTAGTGTGTATCTTCACATACTCACATCATCTTCATTCCAGAGATCAAGTGGTTGATTTTTTAAGCAACTGAAATTGAAAAACAACTATTTGTTAAATGCTGAGAAAACATTTTATTAGCTTTCTGTTGTATCCATAAACACTTTATGACATTTTAACTTAATATTTTATTTAAATAACAGTTAAAGACATACACTGGATGCCACTTATTGTGATCAGGAATAATGTTGTCATTTGTACAATGTTATGAGAATTACTAAGTCCTGACTAAACATAAAAATACGTACAAAAAATGTCATTTATTGTAATCAGTGCTTTGTTTTTTGTCATCAACTTAACCATCTGAAGGGCAAGTGATCTGAGAAAGGTTCACCATAAAATAGAGTGTGGTTAAGTTGTCATTAAGATCCTTTACACTCTTGCATTTCCTTTCCATAATTAGTTGTTTTCATTACTTCGTGCAAGACAATGCTCCCATGAATTTCAATTTTTGTTAACCCTCTTTAATAATGGAAGAAGTGCATAAGAAATGTAAATATCTAACCCTTAAAGAAAAAGTTGCCATTTTAGAATGCTATGATAAGTTACCAAAAATGGGACAATGTGATGCAAGTGCAATTAAAATTTTCCCTCTTTTATGTAAAATTTTAGAAAATCAATCCGACATTGAGAGAGGGAGCAAAACAGAATGAAAACCTAAACTGTAAGAGAAAGTGCAGTGGAAAAGATGACCGGATCGAATCAGCATTAAAACTATGTTTTACTAATGTTTTGTCAGACTGTTATTCGGACAGACCCAGAATTGAAAGATAAAGAAGTAGTTGAAGCCCATAAAGCTGATAAACCACCAATAAATGCTGAAATGCGAGAGGCGCTTCAAATATTTCAATATGGCATACAGCACAGATCAGGCAAGTTTCATAAACAGCATGAATGTGAAAGATTTATTAATGAATTGCTCCACAAAATAGTAGACAGTCAACTTTAAATGAATTTTTCTAATTCTTGTTTTAATAGTTTTTCCTTTCTTTAATTGTTTTTAAATATGTTAATAAACATAAAAATCCAGCTTTTAAACTTTTAACTTTTAACATTTGCTACCCTATATCAATAAACATTACTGTTAATGCAGAATTCTTATTTCATCAGTTAACATTATCATTCAGTTATTGTGGCATCCAGTGTATTAACTTTCTGTTAACCTACCTAACTGCTATCTTTTCACAAGATACACAAAATGTGTCAAGTAATATTATAATTTTTACTTGTTTATTACACATCAGAGTAGTTATGTCATTTATGTTACACTTAAATTATTATATACTTTCTTACATAAATACACATGTGTTGTCCACATGATCACAGAAATAGCTTCCATAAGAATCAGTTATGAAATTATAGTTTGAGCTTACAAAGTTCAATACATCTCTGATAATAAAAAAAATTATGAAACTCTGAAAAACAACTTACGTCCCAGGAGGCACTTTACAACGATTGGTTTGGTAAAAGAAGGCTCTATAACTGACCCCTGCTTTATCACATTCTCCACCATCACCTTCTATTAAATCTTTTGACAAAATAATGTAATCAGATGCTCCTCTCTAAAAATAGTTTAAAGATACTTTAAGAAACAGTGGTAAATCCCTTTTCTGTTACATGGATTAAATTAACAATGTGATTTTCCCAATCCTTTACAAGATTTAAAAAGTCAGTATGCATCCCGACTAGTTCCATTATTTCCAGATATTGTTTGTCAAACTAAGAAATTATGAATACACATCAAACCCTGGTATTAACTTTAAATACTTCATACAGTTCTGTTATGTACATAATGTTCTATGAACAGAAATATAAGACTTTCACAAACATCATCTAGAATCTTAAATACATTTTGGTATCACTAAGAATTCAATTTTAAAAATACTGTAATAACTTTAAGACACTGAGTAAACTAGTAATAACTTTATTTTGAGAGTTAGATACTAATAAAATCACAGTTGTAGCTCACTATTTCACCAAGTCCTGTATATAGTTTCATTATTTTGAATAAGTGTTAACTGATTAGGTCCTTGAATTTTCATATAAAATATGAATTATCATAACTTGAGTAACTTTATTAGTAATATCTGTGTATCATATATAAACTCTGTTTAATACCTTCAAAAATTTGCATATATTTTGACACAAACTTTGATAAATTAAAAAATATATATTGTTAAGACAGCGGAAGTCGCGTGATGCTGGAAGCATGCGCGCTGGAGTTTCTAGAATTATCGAGGAACCCCGTGAATGTCTAAGTTTGCTAAACACCCTTTTTTTAGTACATAAGCCTGACAAAGAAAGCCAGCAAGATAGGCAGATTGAAAAGATAGATAATTGAGTCAAGCAAACAGTAGGCACCGTAAGCAAAGTGTGTGAATCACTGTGATTTATAGCAAGTATTATAATGGTTGTTAAGTTTAAAGTGACCGTGGAAATTCTGTGCATTACAAAGTTTGTATCGAGAAAGAATAAACTAGTTTTATTTAAGAAAGGACTTGTATCACTGAAGTTTCTCGGAAAGAATTTCTACAGGAAATTAACAAACGAGCAGAGACGTAACAAATTAGTGTCAGAAGTGGGATGGAAAAAAAAAAAAAGATGGAAACCAGAAGTGGCAAATCAAACTACGACTTAGCAGATTTGATAGCAGCAAAACAAAAATAGCAAAAGAAACAAGAAAAACGAGGAAATAAACAAGAAAAGAGACTACAACAGTGGTTGGAGGAGAAAGAAAATAAAGAAGAAGAGAGACTACAGCAGTTGTTGGAGGAAAAAGAAAAACGAGGAATGAGAAAAGAAACAAGAAGAGAGACAACAGCAGTAGCAAGAAAACCTGCAACTGTGACAGCTCGAACAACAAAATAAACAACAGAGACTACAGCAGTGGTTGGAGGAGAAAGAAAATAAACAAGAAGAAAATCTCCCACAGTTGAGAGAATGCCAGCATATACAAATGGAAAAGATTAGTAAATTTCAAAGTGAATTAAATACATCAAAGGATAATTTACTGTCTTTTACACAAGGAGTATATATTAGCCATGGACCTAATCAGCCCCAGACAACAGGCTTCCTGTCCCTTCTAGACCCTGCAGGTAGACCCTAATGCAGACATCTTCAGTCCTACTAGAAGTCACATTCCAGACATGAGTGTCAGCAATAAGGTGATCCAATAAGAAAAAAGCCACAGGAATTCGATGGGAAGGCACCATGGGAAGCATATAGAGCACAATTTGAGCTCCTGGCAGAAATCAGTGGATGGACAGAGGAGCAGAAAGCAGTGCACCTGGCAATGAGCTTGAAGGGACAACCACTGGAAATACTTGAACAGTTGTCAGCAGACGACAGGCACAACTATAGAGCACTGGTAGTTGCTCTAGAAAGCAGGTATGGAACTCAAAATCAGTCCAAAGTCTACAGGGCTAGGTTTAGGACGAGAGTTCGTGTTAAAGGGAAGAGTCTGCAAGAGCTGGAACAAGATTTTGAAAGTATGGCACACAAGGCCTACCCAACTGCACCATCTGATGTCATTAAGCTGTTGCTGAGGGATCAGTTTGTAGATGCCTTGTACAGTCCACAACTGAAGATACAAGTAAAGCAGGATGCATTGGCCAGAGCTCTTGAATTCGAATCCTACATTAAGTCCAGCACAGAGGTACCAAGGTTGGTACAGTCATCAGGATTGAAGGTCAGAAAAGGGCAGCTTTCAGAGAAGTTTGAGGAACTTTGCTGCCACTGTAACATACAAGAGAGCTCAATGCAGGCAACTTCAACACAAGGAAGATTCCACAGCAGGAAAGGCTGCTACACAGAAAGGTTGTTGGAACTGTGGAGAGCAAGGACAAATCAGGAGCCAGTGTAAGAAGAATACTACCAGTAAGTCATCCTATGGAAACCAGCATCGTGAAAGTCCCAACAGCTAAGTGTAAAATGGCAAGAACACATAGTGTCTGCGTGACAGGAAAGCTGGATGGCCAAAAATGCAACTTTGTCATAGATTCTGCATTTCAGCAAACCCTTGTGAGTATCAAGGTGCTGGATCACAAAGGAGTACCAGATGCCATACAGAAGAATAAAAGAACATCCCCAAGGAAGCCCAATAATTGTGGAAACAGTGGAAGACCTATCCATGCCAGCAGACGTGAAAATTGGAAGGTCACTTGTGGCAAGTGATAAAGTAGTACCCA